CTTGATCCTTTAGTCGAGATTCAAGGTCTGGTCTAGTCAAGGATTCTCCGCATTGTGAATGAAAGTGAAACAGGTTAGAGATCATCAATCATTAATCTGGCTAGTGGCTAGGGGGAATCATACCTACGTGATTCCCAACCTGTAATTAGATTAACTTTAACTGTAGTTTGCTAGAGTAGTTTTAGTTGTTCTATCTTAATCTGGTTTGCTAGATAATGAACTAAAGCTGAGTAATAGTAACTCTAGAGACCCGTGGATTTGAAATTTATTACTTGAGCCACTATACTGCAGTTCCTTTCATTGGTTACACTTTGCCTTTGTTAGGAGTTGTGTCATAGCGAGTCAAGTTTTTGACACCGTTGCTGGGGACTTTCTAGATTATTAGGAAAGGCAGAAGTTTGTTACTTTAGAGTTTTTCTTTTCTTTTCCACCCTTGCTTTTCACTTGGGTGTTTTTGTTTTTCTTGGTGCAGATCTGAATCATGGATCCTCATGGCTTCTCCAACCATTGGGGGTATCCACCACCATCCGAGTGGTATTACCCCGAGACTCCTTGGAGCAATCAAGGAGGAGAAGACTACGGATTCGGGTTCCAGTACCAACTCCTTACTAAGGAGAACAATCAGACCCCTGGGCATATCAAGAACAACCTCATTACCAAGAAGAATTTCTCCCACAAGCTGCAGATTACCCGATAAGGGCCTCGTTGAGCCATCACCGTCAACACTAGTATAACCTTTGACAAATGAGCATTCATAACAACAGTACTACTTGGTTGCTAGCTGCAGAATAAGGTTTCCCGCTGCAGCACAAGAAGAAACATACACAGAATAGGGAAGAAATGTTGTCCTTCGCCACCAAGCACAGCAACTGCTAACAAGTAAGGAAGTGTAATTTGTTGTCTACTGCAGCATGGAGGCATCTCAACTATGTACTTAATAGATTTACGGGTGGAAGCAATCCCAGTACCAATGAAAATAACCACCTCACACTAGCATTGCAGCAGTTACACCTATGTAACATCCTACAAGAGGTCGTCCTTGTAGGGCTCCTTAAATTCAGGACATTTACCTCTTCCATAAGAAAGAACCACAATCCAACCCAACTCCTTGTAGGGTTCTTTGAAGTCAAAGCCAATACCTCTCCCTTGAGATTCCACCAACACAAAGATACTATTGAACCTACCCCCCTTCATACATATAACCAGCTGTGGTTAAGATTTCAGTCCCAGCACCATGAAACTCAGAATAAAATGACCCGCCTTTATCCACAACCATGTCTTGAGGCTGCTGAAAAAAACCTATAGTTTCTACTGACAACACTTTCCTAGCTATTGGAACTTGATTTGGGATTGTCATAGTTTGAGGTCGTTGCATCAACAATACAGGTTTATATTCAGTTGGGGCAGTTGTAGCAAGAGGTATATGTTTCTTTTCAACAAGTAGAGTACCATTCCCACCAACCAAGCTTGGAGGAAGAAGAGATTCAACAGTCACAACCACTGTATCACCATCCGAACCTAAGTAATCACTAATTTTAGATTGCTTCTGCACTTTGCAAGCCACGATGGCATCCTCTCCCAGGTGAGTTGTATGGTAAGCTTGGATAAGTGTTTGTGGCTGGGACTTCCTTCCCGATGCTTGAATATCACCCGGCAAGCCATAGAGGAAACCCTGAATGAAGTAAGCTTCTGGTAACGTTGGGTCCAACCTCAAAAGTGCCACTTTCAACACCTCAAATCGCTATTGATATTCCTCTATCGATTCTAGCAGCCCAAGCCTGTTGAACCCCCAATTCCAAAACCAGACAGCCGGCCTACGATGGAACTCTGCTGCCTCCAACTCAGCTCTCCGCCGATCCGGTATTCCCAACTCGACAAATAACAACTCACATTCCCTAATCCATTCTTTAGGGGTCTCGCTATCGACAGAAGGAAATTCCAACGACAGAGAGGAGGTAGAAATACCGTGAGAATGGCTGTTGATTTCGAGTTTGCTAGCAAGTTGTTCTGGAACACCACGCAGTGGCTGGGAGTCGCCCACAAACCCAATTTGCTCGGAAAGTAGAGAAGGGAGGTACAACGGATGCTGGAGCTGATTACACGCCACGACGACATTCATCTGCTCTTGCCCCCCAAACCAACGAAGCAACCCCTCGACAAAATTACCCCAAATCAAAGGAAAACGATGGAAAGACCAGCCTTCGAACCATATGTGAGCTCACCCTTCCAGATAGGAGGAAATCAAATCGACCTTCTGATCTTCTAGAATTGAATAAAGCAGGAAGAGTTTGTTACAGTTGCTCACCCACACATGAGGATCTGAACCAGAGAAATAAGGCAACTCAAGACGATGATAGGGATCCACAATTGACGGTCGACGCAGCTGATGCCGGAAGTGGTGATGATCAGGGCGATGATCGTAATTATTTAGGAATTATTCGTTTACTTGTTGCTTTAGGTTTGGGTTTCCTTGTCTTAAGAGGAAAGAGGTTTGTAGGATTAGTCCTATAAATATGTACCTTTGCTCTTCCTTTTATTAAGTCGATCAATAAAGTATTAGTAGTTAGTAGAGAAAAGTAGCTCTTTTATCGTGTTTTCTAGTTCTTTCGCTAAATCGCTCGAGATCACCGGTGCGTGAAATTCCATTCCGCATCAATTGGTATCAGAGCCTGGTTCAAAAGAACCGAGCCCTTACCAGCTCACAGGGACAAGCACCAAAGCGGATTTCGAGGAATCAAGCTCGACGATGCTCGCATATAGGGAATGCTTTCCGCAGATCGATGGGAGGATTTCTATCATTCAGAAGCAACTGGACGAATGCAGAAGGTTGTTTAGGGATGAAGCTTTACAACTTGTCGATGGAGAACCAACGATCGAGCTTGACGAGATGCCGGATAAACCTCTTAGTCCAGCCGACGTAGAGATCTCATTGTGCGCTCTCAGCGGCATATCCAAGCCCACGATCATCGGCTTCGACACCACCATCCATCAAGAACTAGCTGCCGTCCTCGTCGATAGTGCATCCTCGCACAACTTTGTGAGCCGCGAAGCTGCCGGGAGATTGTTTTTGAGAGCTACTATAGTTTCGCCGTTTGAAGTTAAGGTAATTAATGGGGATTCCCTATTGTGCCAACGATGCTACGAAGCGGTACCAATCAAGATACAAGGGGTATAAATTCAGGCTGATTTGTACGATCTACCACTACGTGGAGTTGACGTCGTTCTCGGCTGTCAATGGCTTGAGCAAGCGAGTCCGATATCTTTTGATTAGAAGAAGACGACCATGCGCTTCAAAGATAAGGGCTCGTGGGTCACGTTGCAAGGATCCATTAAGCTCGACGAAGAGGCTACATGTGCTTTCGAGAGTTTGCTAGATAATGACGGCATGTCTCGAAGGATCGTATGCCGCAATCAAGGAGGTCACCTGATTCTTCAAACATCTGAGGCATTGGAGTCGAAGCTGGAAGAAGTCTACCCTACAGTTGATGTTGTCGTCCCCGCCACCACGTCTGTAACCGCGACGTCATCGAGGGTCATTGCACCACCGCCGCCACCTGTGGGAACCCTAACCTCATCGGCGCCGTGTACTGCTATCCGCCTTAAAGGGGGGAGGCGTCTCTATCGTAGAAAGAAGAGAAAGAAACTCCAGGAAGCCCTTGTCGTTGCTGTCACTAAACCTGCCATCAAGTTGATATCACCATAGGGGGAAGCCCTACACCATTCTTTGGAGGCCGAGGACGAAGATGAAGCTGTTGTCATCGATGGCTCATTGCCTGCACAACCATTGTTGACCGTAGCTCTTGTTTCGCCACGCCATGTCGCAAGGAAGCGTTATGAGGAGAAGCCGCCATCGCCGGTCGGTGTTGGATCAAGGTTTACATGGATAAGGTTGGCCTCGCTCAATTATTCGGCCAATCGAAAGAAGGAGGTGGAAGGTGAAGGAAGAAGCCAAGGTGTCATGGGATGCCGAGGTTTGGTCCGCGGTTGCGTAGGTCCGAACATGGGTGAACTCGTTGGGGCGTTGGTGTATGGAGTTGATCCAGAGAATTTCTCTGATAGAGATGTTACTATAGAGTTGACTGGTTGTCTACAAATAAAATCGTGACCCAAGCTGGAGGATGCGAGCGAGAGGATCGACCTACAATGATGGAATCAATTGGTGGTGATGGAGGAATTGTGAGACGCGACCTGGGGGAAGAATGAATCTTGGGCGGCCAATGGGCGAGTGTTGCTTGCAAAAGGGAAGAAATCCATTAATTGATTCTAAGCATAGAAAGAAAGCAACCCAAGGTTCAGTTCGGCCATGGGAACCTATATACGTTTGGGCGAATCACCAAGAGGGTGGAATTAATAGCTTTGATGGGTTTGAGAAAAGAGCCTTTTCTCATGCACACATACGTGACAAGTTTGAAGGAATGCATGGGGAGTTAGGTTTGAAAAATGAGGATTGGTGGGTCTTTGAATTCATGCGCGGAAAGGTGGATTAAGCGGCTGTAGCTAGTGGTGTTGAATTCGTTCAAGTCTCAGAACATAATTGGAAGCGTCGTAAACGAGATCGATTTCGATGGGCATACACTCTCTTCGTTGTCAACAATACGTGGGAGCGATTCTTTTTCATCGATCCGGGTTGAGATGAAGGTTAAACTTCGGGGACGAAGCTGTAAAAAGGGGGAGGATTGATGGGTTGTTGTTTTATTACTATTATTTGTTGGGATATTCTGTTATTATTCGGGTTATTCGTATTAGTTTGGGTCTAGGATTATTATTACGTATCTTGTTTAGGAAGTATTCGTTTACTTGTTGCTTTAGGTTTGGGTTTCCTCTTAAGAGGAAAGGGGTTTGTAGGATTAGTCCTATAAATATGTACCTTTGCTCTTCCTTTTATTAAGTCGATCAATAAAGTATTAGTAGTTAGTAGAGAAAAGTAGCTCTTTTATCGTGTTTTCTAGTTCTTTCGCTAAATCGCTCGAGATCACCGGTGCGGGAAATTCCATTCCGCTTCAGCGAGCCTCTCTCTCTTGTCCATTTACCTCAACGTTTCTGAGAGTGAGAGCGGAGTCGACGTTGGTAGTGAGGGTGGCCCGGCGGGAATGGCGCATGGATTTGATTGATTCCTGCATGATTTCGCGGAGTCGGTACTCCACATCGGGAGCGAGGGCTAGTGCCGCATCAGAGGACAAATTGCTGATTCCGATGCTTTGAGCTATGACTTCCATTGTCTCCTTCAGGACGATGCTCATGGTGTTTGTTTAGGGATCGGATTAGTGGCGGTTCGTTTAACTGTTTTGGCTCCTGCCTCTGCCTGTGAAGAAAGTAAAGAAAACCCTTCAACAGTGAGGTGAGGTCCTTCTTTATTAAACTTTTGTGTTCGTTTACTTGTTGGATTTGAAAATGAACATTTTGGATTTTAAAAATCTTTGGTTTATGATGTATGTAACACCCCGAATTTTGGGTTATGGTTCGACCATAATGCGTGATCGGTTGGGTTGACAGTTGCGTACTAAAAGTTGCAATCGCGGATTAGTAGAAATAATAATAATTATTATTATTATTTTATTATTAAAAAAAGAATACAATCAGCCGGGGCCGAGCAGCCCTCCCAAATGGGAGCGGATCTTGTCAGTAACTGATGGGGCAAGTAACCCATCAGTAACCCATCAGCTGATCTCCACGTGTCAGTCCACTTTTTTATTTAAATTAAATGCGGAAGGGCAGTAAGGTAAAATGCACTTATCCCCTATTTATTGCTGACGCGCTGACTTTTGACCGACCACATCAGGACCTCCTTCTCTCTCATCGAAAAACCTTTAATTTTCCTTCTTTTAATCTTTAACGGACGATTTCTCACTCGTTTTAAGTAGAAATTTAATTTTTTTTGCAAAGTTAGATCAGATTAATTATGCTCTTCAAAATGATATCCACTTTGATATTTTTTTGACACAAAATTTTTTTCCAGTTATTACCAGTCTATACCATATGGTATTGTGTGGTAATATCAATATATATTTCGTTACCACCCAATACCATATGGTATAGTGTGGTAATATCAATATATATTTCGTTACCACCCAATACCATATGGTATAGTGTGGTAATATCACACAATACCATATGGTATAGAGTGGTAATATCAATATATATTTCGTTACCACGCAATACCATACATTACCATAGGGTATAGTGTGGTAATATCAATATATATTTCGTTACCACCCAATACCATATGGTATAGTGTGGTAATATCAATATATATTTCGTTACCACCCAATACCATATGGTATAGTGTGGTAATATCAATGTATATTTCGTTACCACACAATATCATATGGTATAGTATGGTAATATCACACAATACCATATGGTATAGAGTGGTAATATCAATATATATTTCGTTACCACGCAATACCATACATTACCATAGGGTATAGTGTGGTAATATCAATATATATTTCCTTACCACTCAATACCATATGGTATAGAGTCATAATATCAATATATATTATCTAAAAGGAAAAAAAAACAGAAGGAGGGAGAGAAAAAATCGTCTTCTGATGCCTCTCATTTCCTCTTCCTCAATCAAGAACACCAAAATGCCAAAAAAATGAGAAAGATCAGAATTGAGGCCAACGAGTTGATGAAGAGAAGAAATGCAAAGAAAGAGAGTGGCTACAATTTTTATTCGTCGATTGCTAGAGAAAAAAAATGAAGAAGGAAGATAGTGGATCTAAATTTGGAAAGGAGATTGTGAAAGAAAAAGTAAGAGAGAAGGAATAGAGAAAGAGAAAAGATCTGGAAAGAGATTGAAAGAAAAGAAGGGAGAAGGAAGAAAGTTGAGTTGCATTTTCTCTTTCATTGAAAAGTCAGCCATTGAAATGCGGAATGAATAAAAAAAATTAAAAATACAAAAACGGACAAAAATGCCCCTCCCCACTTCACATCCAGCCCAACCGTAGGATTGCTCCATTCCCAATCCTACGGCTCCCGTGTGGTTACTGATGGGTCAGTAACCAGTGGTTACTGACCCTATATTGGACCCTCCCAAATAATTCCCCAGGCCTCCAAAACCCTTGGCCTCTCTATATTTTTCCCATGGCCCCAATTTTGGTCAGCAGCCCCGCAAGAAAAAATAAACCCGACCCTATCTACGATTTCCCAATCAATCTCCTTCTTTTATTTTTTTCCCAAACACGCCGCTCGCTGTTTCTTTTCGTAACCCCAAGCCCACGAGGAGAAACCCCAAGGCCGCGAGAAAAAAACACCACCAGCCCGTCGCCGATCAATTCCCCAAGCCCCCGCCGCCAATCAACCGATCTCATCCCTCTCGTGTTCTAGGTAAGGATCACGAACCCCTTCGCGATTTCTAAACGTGATTTATCGTTAGACTAATTCGAAGCTCGGTTTTTATTAGCGGTGATGTTGAGGGTTCGATCAGCGAGGAGATAAACGTCCCGGGTCAGCCAATCTAGGCCTAGGCACGTTCTAGAGGTAATGGAACTCGATCCCTATGAGTTAGGTCGATTGATTTGGTAATTTTTCGTGAGGGTGCAATTCTGATGTTTTAGCAACAGACGTTCAGGCCTTTAGTGACAGAATATGGGTGGTCACTAAAGCTGCTGGGAATTTTCAAAAGCATGTTTAGGTGGTTTAAATTTTTTCGAGTCTTTACAAGGGTTTGTTCTTGACTTTTACATTTTTATAAATTGAGGCAGGTCTAGGAGATGGCTGTAAATTAATTTGGGGATTTTTGAAGATGTATTTCAAATTTTAGGAATGGTTCGAACATTCGTTTTAGTTAAATAAAACTAATTCCGAGGATTTTATAGGAGTTGATAATTTTCCAGGGTATAAGTACTCATGATTGATGTAGGAAAATTATTATCCGAATTTTTGAGAAGGTTCAAGGTAGGTGAAAAATTCTTCCAAGACTAAAATAATTAGGAAAAGTGGTCGGTTTTGAAGGGATTGTTTTTAGAAAATTTTTAAAGAGGGTTAAGGGACCTTGGGAGCGAGTCTCGAGGGCTGGATGTCGAGGAGAGGATGTTCTAGTGACCCAAAAGGGATTTCTAAAACGAGAAAGGACGACTAAAGAGACGACTTTCTTATTAATAGGTTCACCGAGATAATTCGACTAGGAGGGATTTCTTCGAGTAAATAATCGAGAGGAGTCAGCTTTTTAAGGTGAGTGTAAAGGGTGTAAATTCTACGCCTTACGTGTTCTTTCAAGAGTTACAAGTCTTGAGTATTTTGTTGAAGTGAATGTTGTTGTTTGATTGTGCTTATGGTTGATGATATGTGATTTTGTTTGAGCTATGCTTGATGTGAATGTGCATGAGTTCTTATTTAAATTTAAGCTTTAAGTTTATAAGTTATTGTTGAAGTTAAGAAACAAGTTCTTTTAAGAAGTAACTCACCTTCAAGAAGGTGAAGTCGTTTTAAGTGTTTTTAGTCACTAGCACCAGTCCGTTGCCTTTTGAGATAGAGCAGCAGTTATGCTCTTGAGACCTTTAAGTTTGGCAGCAGTTATTCCCTTGAGAAATGTGGTGAAGAGCCACCAAGATAAGTTTAAGATGTTAGAAGGATTAATCGTTACGACTTCCCTAACTAAGTTTAAGTTTAAGGAAAGCCTGAATGGCTTCTCATACGTATGAGTTGGCAACCGGACTAGCTAGTGAGGGATCCCAGTGTCAGTCAAAAGATTTAAGTCAAGTTTTGAGCTTTAAGAAGGGAGAGTAACTTAAACTCCCGAAGAATTTAATGAGTTAAGATTGTTAAGAGTGGAAGTACAAAACGGCTTCCACTTGTAGAGTTGAGTGTTTAAAGAAGAATACTAAAATACTATAGATTTTATTGTAAGGGCGTAGACTGACCCCAACTCACTCGCCAGATCGTAGAGGAGGAAATCCTAACCAGCCAGTCCGCGATCAACAAGCTAGAGGAGCTCAACACCATCGTCGCTGAGAGATGTCGAGCCAGGCGTCAGAGTAAGCTTCGAAGAACTTTTCAAGTTATTAAGACTTTATGGTTAAGAGTTAAAGACTGGAGATTCATTTCTTTTGAACAATTTGAGTTTTGCCCACGTGTTTAGGGCTTCGAGTTGAGATATTTGAGTTTGATATTTTATTTAAACTTCTGTTATTTGAGATTTTTAATTATACCCCGAGGTAGAAATGTCTTTTTCCAAGTTCAAAGAGGGATGTTTCAATGTATTTGTTGCATTATGAATTTGAAATAGTACATTTTTTGCTTAGTTTATTTTTATCATGAATTTATGATGGATTTGTCTCACAACTTTGCCTTCTATTATCAAATCATAAATAAAATGTGGATTTGTGTCCCTTACCAAATAATGGATTTGAGCCAAGTCCTTGATGCTTGAGATTTGGGTGCCAAATCCATCCCTCAAATCCCACAAGCAAACGATACCTTTATGCCGAGACTGCATGAGACTGGGGATGGAAGGCTGTAAGTCTAGATGGCAAATGGATTGGATTGGTGGATACATGGATCAAATGGATTGGATCAAGTGGATTAGTGGATTATCCATGAATCCAAATGACATCCTCAACCAATGACCAACATGTAAAATGTGCAAAGTTTAGGTACTAAAATGTTATAATGAAAAATTTTAGGTACCAAAACGTAATTTTTCAATGATATTTTTCTTATAAAAAATTAAATTTTAGGTTCCCCAATAAAAAAAAGAAAAATTATAGTTACTAAACTGTAATTTTCCAATGATCCATGAATCCACCAATCTAATTGGATTGAATTTAAATGTATTGGATTAGGTGGATATTTTAATGGATTGGATTGAAATTGCCACCTCCAGCTATAACATACCGTACCAATTTATAATAATGAATAACTCAGAAGGATGCAACTGTAGAAAATAGATTCATTGAGGATCAAATTGTAGTTTTCCAGGACGACTAATATAGAAATAGGAAATCTTATTTTTCCTCCTGTGTTCTCTGCCTCTTCGTTTCCTTTTCCTTTTTCTCCCTTTTCTGTTACAACTAGTTATCATGGCTCGTACTCCGCTGTGGGATGTGGGATACTAAAAATGTCAATCTAAAAATGGACAAAGGAATATCAAATCAAATGATATTGTGCATTGCGCATAACAATACATAGCAATACAACTTGAGTCATCAATAGACAATATGCAGGTACAATGGTAGACATAAAAATACTCAGCAGATACTAACGACTACTATAGACGATATAAAGATTATTAGTT